AATGATAAATGCCTCCAAAGGCCAGGTCACTTCATCGATATTAGGTCACAACACTATCAACTATGAGCGTTAATGAGTTGTAAGTCAGAAACTGCTTGTTTAGTGACGTACATAACTCTCAGTCCTCGTCACGATATTTAATACGAGTATTAATATTATTAATATTGTGTGCGTCGACGAATAAAGATAGCAGTACTAGATATGCTGTCATGGCTTCAGATGTAATGTCGGATAAGTTTAATGATGTATGCGAATGCGTGTGGTCCGTGCGTACTGCATGTGCTTCATAGAACATCTATTCTAATAAGTATTATAATTTGTTTGGTAGAACGCGACGCGACGGTCAAGTACTACTGGTTTGTATTCAAAAATTCGTTTAGTGTTAGATAGCTCATTCATAGAGGAAGACTATGGAGGCTTTTATAACTGTTTATTAACATAATTCTTTATTTCAAGACATTTTATTGCATTGACTTTAGTTGCTATTTTTGTGTGATTGTATAAATTATTGTTAGTACCTGGATGACCAAGCTTTGCCCGGTGTTTTTTTAAATAATAAAAAAACGAAACCTAGACCTAGAAACCCCTTGCATGCTAAATTTCATGAAAAATTTTGGCGCCGTTTCGATATGCAGATTATATATATATATATATATATATATATATATATATATATATATATATATATATATATATACAACAATTGCTCATTTAAAGGTATTCATTTGTAATGTATATAAATAATTTAAAGTATTCTTTTGTATAAGAGATACGCCACGCCATATAGACAAGCCAACAGTATACATATACGACATTGTTCAAAATACAGTTACAGGCATGCACAGTATACATGACCCAGAACAGATAGACACACATTCAAGTAATAGCAAGATTAAGTTTAAAGTGAGCGAAATTTAACAAAAAATATAGTACTTAGGAATTACACACAAATAAGCCTAAACAATGATAGTGGGAATCATGCAAACGATTTCAGTATCATATCATAACATTCAAAGGAATTGTGGAAAATATCTAGTTGGGCAATGTTTATTTCTCGATTAGAGTGATTAGAAAGTAAGCTAACCTAACGTATTAACGAAAAAAACAGCAAGGTCTGTTGCCATGTTAGTTATATAGATAGTAAGCCATACTTGGGCCAGAACAGTAACATTATTATAAAGTACGTGAGTAACATGCATTCCGAATCAAATTGGTTCCGAACAAATCCATTCTTTAATCACTTTGTTCCTTTTTAGTTACAACCCTGATATAACTTTATTGATCTCTTTTTTTTATGTTAGACGAGCAGACCTCACCCGATGGAAAGTGACCATCGACGCTCATGAACTCAGGAGTCACAAACGCGTTGCCGGCCTTTTAGGAAGGAGTACGCTCTTTTCTTGAAGGTTTGAAAGTCGTATTGGTCCGGAAATACCGCAGATGATAACCCGTTCCACAGATTGGTTGCGCGGGTGAAAAAGTGTATTGGAAAGCCCACAATAGTGGAGATGATGAGGATGAAAATTTTGCCAAGTGGAACGATGTATCTTACTACCTGGTAGTAGTAGTTTAAGATTTTGAAAAGTAATTTATTATCAATTAAATTAAATTCAATATTTATTGCTCACTATATTATTATTGGTATTTATATCAACATAGATTTTTAACTTTATAAGGCGAATGTTGGATACAGGAAGAGAAGTATTTTGGTACAAAAAATAAATGTCATCATGTTTACGTATTGATAACAATGTTATCTCAGTATTAATAGTAAGTCGACTTGTAGCTTCATAGAGGAGCATGAAAGAACTGACTCAATGAGGCTTTGACTCTTTCCCCCAACCAGGCAAAGCTTGTGCTGTCATAACCAGGACTGCTGATAAATATTTATCAAAATTCATTTACGTATTATAGATAAGGTACCCAAGTGCAGAACAAATGACTGTTGTCGTCATATAATTAACTAGCTGACCCGCGCAACTTCGTCTGCGTCTCTCAATAGTAATAAATTTTCTCCGTTTTTGAAACATTCTTCATTGGTGCTCCGCTCCTATTGGTCTTAGCGTGACGATATATAGCCTATAGCCTTCCTCGATAAATGGGCTATCTAACACTGAAAGAATTTTTCAAATCGGACCAGTAGTTCCTGAGATTAGAGCGTTCAAACAAACAAACAACCAAACAAACAAACAAACTCTTCAGCTTTATAATATTAGTATGATTAATTTAACCTCAGTGGGAATCTAACCCACGACCTGTGAATCAACAATCTTTTATCATTAGACCTGTCTGTCATTTTATCATCTGGTTGATGTAAAACCTTTAAAGACGAGGATGTTTTGTTACAACGCTTTCTATACAGTCAACTACCATACCAAGCTAAACCATAGTCTTTTTTTAACCCTAGAGACTAAACTGACATTACGTGGGTGATTACTCTTTTGCAATTCTTAAATAATGATGTACCTACCATTAATTAAATACCAACCCGTCTGGCCAGCGTGGTGTAGTAGGCGAAAACCTCCTTTCTAAGGAGAGCCCTATGTCCAGCAGTGGACTAGTAAAGGCTGTTGTTGATGATGATGATGATGATGATGTGCCACTGTCCAATAGAAGTTAATAAAACCAAGCTATCGTATTTTTCATACTAAATTAACCTGATTTTTTTTTACAAAAAGTAATTATTTCATCCAAAGGAAATAATCTTTTTTCCGTCCCAGCCGTTGAGTGATATGACCCTACTATTTACTATCTGATGCTATAATTAATAAAATATATTCTTCGACTAGTAGTTGTCTATAGTATTTGCCGCGCTTTTTATTGGTAACTAATGTTTTAACATTTTTATCGGCGGTCGAAATATAGGCCAGGTATTAAGGAACCAATGGGAGAGGCCTATGTCCAGCAGTGGACTGCGATAGGCTGACGATGATGATGAAGGAATCTGTCTGTGTACGAAGTTTTAAACATTTATTTAGTATGGCTTTCTTTCTTTCTCTTCTCAATTTAAACATTTGTTGAAGTTAATCATCTAATACAGATAAAAAGTTACGAATTACTAAACCGGTATCGGTACGACATCTCTGCGCAAAAGAGCGAGAGATTTCCATGACATTTCCATGTGTCAATTTGGTCTCTGAGATTAACTATAGAACCTACTCTTATATGTATGTACATTAATTAATAGAACAAAACAAAAGTATTGCATTAGATTATTAAAACATGTCGCAACTTCGAACAATTTATAAATTATAGGTATAACATTATTCGTTATGGTAAAATGTAGTCATAACCTGTTTAAATTTGACAATATTATTATTATTAATAGTAAAAATCTCCGAGTTTGCGGCTGCATCTGTCTATGGGTGATAATCTCAAAAAGTACCAAACGAATTATCAAAACGGTTTTCCATATATAGATAATACTACATGTATTTGCACACCTAAAATAAAAAAAAGTACAAAGCACAGCAGTGTTATTGCTATAAGCAAACTCTTTCGGACAATCTTTGGATGGATCAAATAGATTAGGAGAGGCAAGGTAGTTCGTAGTGAAAATAATGTAATAAAACTGGATCTAGTCATAAATAGGAAATAATTTTGTTAGTGCGGCGCATTAAGAAAGTATTCACGGATTCATTCCTCTTTAGAAGATATAACACTAATTATAGCAACTAAACAAATTTCTAAAATTAAAACACAATTGGGTTTTTTTTTCGTATTTGAACTGTTACCCTTGCAAAATTAAAATAATGGTAAGTTTACACATCACATGAACAGCCTTAAATAGTCCACTGCTGGACATAAGCCTCTCCTTAGAAAGGAGGTTTTGGCCTACTATACCACGCTGGCCAGACGGGTTGGTATACGTTTTGTGTTAAGTTTTCCTTCTCTCTGCAGTGCAGTTGTTCTGCGTAGTTTTCTCCCTCCCGTTACGACACCCACGGGATGAATAGGGGTGGTGACATTCTGTATTCACACGGACCACACCGACGAATTTCACACATCTGACACATTTATGTTAGTGAGGCAAATTGTCCTTTCAGTCACATTCCATGATGTCAAGTAGGCACCTATCTATGCAATTCTAATAAGAATTCAATTTGACCAATACCTCTTTCTGAGCAGGTGACACAATGTTTAAACTTGCTTAATTTATTAGGAAAATTCTAAGTATATGATAAAACAATCGCACATATATGGTTTAGTTGTATTATATTTTTGTTAGTAAAACGTCTACTCTTTTAAGATATCTAAATTGAAACAAGTAATGACTGAACTAAAGAACTTCATGAAGAATATTTGAGAGTTTGACGATGTAGGTAACTAGTGGTATCTGCTACTGAGGTACAGTTCGGTTGCTTCATTAATAAATTCGGTTATACTGACGATGTGTGGCATCACACTTGCGGCAGGACACTTTTTGAAGAGGGCATCGTCGCCGCGTCGAGTCCGACGCTGAATAGTTTCGGGAATACCCGGGATTTGGATAGGTACACGTAATTAATACCATATTTCTTTGTAAATGTGATTTTTAAACTTGTTGGTTTGATATTTAGGCTTCTTATCATACAACAAGGATTCTGTATATACCTAATACTTAAGTTAACCATTAAGGTAACAACATACCTATATATTAGCCTAGGTAACAGGCACTCACTCCGTTGGCTTTTCCAAACCATAAAAGCCCGTCGGACCCAAATGTCATGAATATAATTATCAGTGGATGTAGCCTAATCAGGTCTAAAAAATACATCATTTATTTTGCTTTAAACAAAATACATAGTTTCAACGCATAGTCGATAGTTCCGCTAAAGAAAATTGAAAAACTAATAACAAAGTGTAAATTCGTCACATAGGTGTAAACATCTCTAATTAACTATTCTCGATTTATTCATTAGAATCTAATGTAAATATATTACATTTTGATAGGTATTATTTGATATACGATGGTGGACCACATTGCCACAGATTAACCATAAAGCAGTAGGCTCACTCACCGGTTTCCATTGCGTAGCCCGCTGCTGCGGCGGCTGCATGCAGCGCGCCGTATTCCTTGCCGTCCATACCACCTAGCATCATGATAGAACACTGCACTACACCATAAGGACACGAGGTAACCGAGACTTTGTCAGACGCTGTCCGAGTGTGATACAACACGTTCGCTGCGCGACGCGCCGCCGCGACATGTGCGCGCGCGCAGCTCGACCGCGCCAGGCGCCGCGTGCCCCGCCCCCCGCCGCCATTGGTCACCACCCACCAATCGCCGCGCTTCATTTCAAACACTTTCCTTTTTCCATGTCGCGTTCTATTTGAAGCGTGTTGATGCATCATTGAGTTTTACCGTGCAATTTACGATTTTATTCTAGAGGTGTAAGATTGGTTTTAGTTTGTCGCGTGAGGAAGAAATATGTCTGTTTTCCCGTTCGGTCGGATGCGCTCGGGCAGGAGCGCGACGAGAGCCGAGGAAAATGTCGCGCCGCTCGAGTAGGCCGAGTAGGTATAGGGTGAGCGGATGCGCGGCGTTGTGGGACGGCTGTATGCGCACGCGCATTCGACCCGCTATGTACGTACCTATGTACAAGGTGTAATTGATATTTTTATGGGAGTTAATTTATGTCGTTTTTAATGTTCTCAATTCGAGATAGAACCGTTACGACGTGGCTACATTTTAAAGATCGCTGGTTCATTTGACACAGGGTTTTAGAGGGTTTGGGGTTTAGGTTAGGAGGGTTTTAGAGGGTTCTTGTATAAGTATTAAGTAGGTAGTGAGATAGTTATTACTTCATTTTTTATGCGTCTATATAAGACCTAAGTTTTTCGCTCCTATGACTGTTAAGCAGTAGAAAATTTATCAATTACTACAAATCCAGTACTTCCAAAATGAAATGTTGTGTTTTACAATGAGTGTCAGTTTATTATTAGCCTAGTAAAGGTCACTGGCCACCAGTGAGTGAATAGACGTTACTTAAACGTTACTTATGATTATGCTTCCACATATGTATTGTATTGTACTTATGTATTTATATATATTTATACATAAAAATATTAAAAAGTATGTATTTCAGCAGTTTGGCTAACATGGTACTGACTGGGTACCATGCCGATACCATGGCTTTACATTGTTTAGTGTGTAGTTACTGATCTGGGGCGGTAAGCACTTTCCATGAGGTGACCCGCTCGTTTAATGTTTATATATTTATATGTAGGCGTATGCAGTTAATATTGCATTAAGTAGATTAATTATAGTCACCTGCTCGTCGGAAGATTAAACAGATCTAATTTATTGTCACTATTAATTTGATATAATCAGTCCCCAGCTTTTCTCATTCTGATTTAATTAAATTACAACCAGACACACAATAAATGATCGTGCTTATCACATTTATCCTGGGTGGGAATCGACCCTAAAACCCAGGTCAGGGTCTCTAACCACTCCGACAAAAGACATGTCAATAATATGTAGGTATGATAAATTATATTTATTTCTGTAAGTAACTCTTGTTAAATATTTTTACAAGTCGGAAATCTGTATGTTCATTTATAAATATAAGAGCCCGGTCGACGTCAATTAGCTCGTCCCCTTACAAAGTGGGATTAAAAATATAGTGGGCAAAACGTAGGCGTTAAGACGTGAGTGTTTATGTGATTGTTATTGCGTCGACCCCAAATAGAATCAGAAGAAGTACAAGTGGAAGGACGATGATGATTCTTTGACATATTAGACAATGCTGCTTAAAACCAAACTAATCAAAGCAACACAGTCTGCACTGTGGTAACCAGATTGCTGATAAACACACTTATAGATAGTTCAACTCAGTTGTGCGCGCGGCCCTATGTGTGCGTGGGCTTGTAAATATACAACTTTCATTCGTGTGGCAGTGACGCGGCAGTCGGACGACGACTGCCACACGAATGAAATCAGTGTGTGTTTATCAGTGTGTTTATCAGCAATCTGGTTGAACTATCTAGGCACAACTGAGTTGAACTATCTAGGTATACACACATATTTATAATACACATTTCATAGATAAATTACAATCATACACGGAACAAATGATTGTGCTCATCACACAACTATTTGTCCTGAACAACGTGGAGGGAACCCACAATCTCAGACTTAGCCGTCAGGGTCAGTAAACACTAGACCAACAGGTGATAACATTTTTCACAAATTGCGTCATCGTATCTTAATAGATTCTTACAGCTCTAAAGAGTTTTTATAAAAATTAAAACATCGGTAATGTCTATTAAGATTAGATCAATATTAAGAGGAAGGTTGCGATCAATGGACCAACGCTTTCTTTGGACCACCTAATTATTCCAAATAGAGCAGCGTGCACGCACGTTTCTGGAAGGACAGCGATATAAAAATCGTGCAACGAAAAAATCTTAGCAGGTTGTTGAGAATTTCTCTAATCAGGTTCCTAATATTCTTAAAATTAATTCAGATAGAAAAAATATTTTTAATTAAGCACCTTTTAGTGTACAAGTTTTTGGTTATTTTCTTTCAAGAATGACGTCAGAACAGAGTTAGAAAACGTATTAATGAGTGAAATTAAATGAGTGAAGTTACCGTAACTAAAACCTCTAATCCTCCCTGATTCTAGGGGGAGGGACTGAAAAGCCGGTAACGCTCTTATGACTCTTGACTTACCATCGGGGGTGACCCGTCTGTACGTTTCTGTACCAAAAAAATGTTTTGTAAAAATTTGTGGCTATGTATACTGTGACGTTAAGGTAATTGTGACATTAAGGTAATTGTTATTGTTACCATGAATAAAAAAGTTGATTAAAATTAGGTGTTTTAATGAAGTTACAATAATTGGACTTTAATACAAAAGTTTCTGAGTCCATTGATGACAACGGGGCGCTCCAAGTGGTTCAAAGAAAGCAAAGGATCTAAAAATGGTTTTGTGACTAAATTGCTAATACAGATCATGATAAGAGAGAATTAAATATTAATCACAAGTTTTGATCTATCACTTTTATTTAATTAGATATGACGCCTTAAAGTTATGTGGTCCAATCATCGCAACCTTCCCCTACTTGTTAACAATATGCAGTCCTAGCGATACCCGCGATATTTACTTTTTGATAATCAATTTTTCCTTGATAAAAATTGCCATGGAGATAAATTGTATTTTCAGACTATAATTTATGTCCGTGCCAAAGCCTTTTAGACGAAGAAGATAGAATGCCCGACTCAATGACCATTTGAAAAAAGGAAAGTGTTTGACAATAAAGTTTCGCAACGAGCGTTGGCATCCACAGCACTTTTCAACATGAAGTGTTATTTGACTGCGATTTCATCTCGGCTACAAAAACTCCAACACACCTTTATATGTGTTTGGCAAACAAGAATAAGTTGATAGCAACTAATAAGAGATCCAATTGACTGCTTTGATTTTCAAATTGCGCGCTGCTAGCTGGAATTACTAAATATATTTAGTAATAAGAGAATAAATCTTGTAATTTTTGTATTTCTACTATGTAAACTACACGCCTATATCACTGTTGGTGCTCACATATAGTCTAGGAGCTAGATAAGTCCTCTAAAAGCAATTGAAAAGAAATACGACTCCGATACACACATTTCTTCTCAATTTTCTAAACAAGAACACTGTCGGTACCAAAAAGCGGAAAGCTAAGCTGAAAAAACTCCTTCGAAAGCTAATTAAAACTAGAAAATTCCTAACATTCTCGTAAAACAACCCGCAAAAGACGGAAACACGTGTCAGGAATCAAAATGTCTAGTAGCATCATGTTATATCATATTGTAGCAAAAAATAACTGAGGCGCCGCCGCCGGGCGTACTCTGTTAATTACTCCAAATATGTCGCTTATTTACGTAAAAACCAGCGAGAAGACCGCTTTGCCGCATGCCGCGACAGCAAATTGCCGCGACGAAATGAAGCGACGCGGCGGGCGGCATTAACCGCCGACAAACAAACTGAGCTTCTGTTGATATAGTGATTAATCATTTAATTTGTTGGACCTACAATAATTTAATAAGACTGCAAATACCGACTTCATTACTAGGACACGATTCTCCATACTAATATCCAGGTCACCAAAAGTCACCATGGTAGTCACAACCTTATGTGTGGCCTCCTTAACCATGCATGATTCTTGGCACCAAAGCATGGGATTAAGGTTAATAAAGAGAAGACAAGACATTCGATCTCGATCGAGACTGAGAGACTTATCCATTTTATTAAGAGTCTGCAACCCAGAAGTCACAAACGCGTTGCCGGCCTTCTTCTTCTACTCCATCGGAGTAATCTCTTTTCTTGAAGGTTTGAAGGTCGTATCGGTCCGGAAATACCGCGGGCGATAAATCGTTCTACAGATTTCTGGCCTTAAAGTGTCGTACAATGATATCCCGCTAGACGAGCCCACTATTAATGAAAAAATAACGCCCTCTAACATGAACATAAACGCATGAACATTAACTCTCGTGAAGGAACCTAGAAACGCAGCGGTATTGCCGACGTTTCAAGGATGCATTATTTAGAATCGCTCCAAGTATTTGAAAATAGGGAGTTGGCATGGCACAAACAAATTCAGGCAACTCTTCCGGTATTCCCATTATTTAGGTAATTAAAAAACATTGTGTTCAATTAATACCTTAAGATTTAAGATGAAAACTTCTTTTTACAGGGCTACCCCCACGTGATGTGAGTACTTAATCTTATGTTTTCAGAAACGTATATTTAAATAACTCGCCCCGTAAACAAAGAAAACGTTTTACGAAATAAAAAATATATGTCTTCAAAAATGACAAGTGTTTCGTGGACCACTGAACCTACCCCTATATCAACAGCTTTTAGTAGTTTGAAAAGAATACTAGGTATATTAAACTGTTTTAATATAGTAAAATTCTCAGAACCCCGACAATATGACCACTTATTAAGACTAGATAGCTTAGTAATAAATATTGACCAACCCTAGAGTAAAAAATAACACAATTATCAATCGCGATTAAACTGCTGCTTCCTATAGCCATACCCCCTTGGCCCTAGGGTAAATACGCTACAGTACGCATTTAAAGTAGTTTTTTTTTATGTTAGAGGGGGCAGAAGAGCCTACGGGTGTCGGTCCGGAAGTACCGCAGATTATAACCCGTTCTACAGATTGGTTGTGCGGGGCAAAAAGTATCTCGAAAAGCGCACAGTAGTGGAGCGCCAACTATCCAGGTGATGAGGATTAAAATTTTGCCGTGTGGAACGCTGGCGGAAAGTTGCGTTGGTATTAGTCCGAACAATTCCTTGGAG